TATTCTTACCTCATCAGTGTTGTACATTCCCATTCCACAGCCCCCTGCGGTAAAGTCATACACCTCCCACTCCTTCGACGGGCTTCCATCAGCTGGAGAAAACACCATCTTAAACTTGCCAGGCTGGTTGACAACAAAGTCTGTGGCCCTGTACTGTGAGATCAAACATTAGTGTGTGAGTGTGTTCTTTCATGTTGGATGCATCTTTGGAAACAGAAAACACACATTTGCAGTTTTTTGTTTTTTTTACCTGATCGCCAAAAGCATGTCTGCCAATTGTTATGGCTTGTGTCCAACCGGGAACGAGACGAGGAATGTTTTTACAAAGGATTGGCTCACGGAAAACTGTGCCGCCTAAGATGTTCCTGATGGTTCCATTGGGACTCTTCCACATTTTCTTTAGTTTAAACTCTGGAAGGAAAATATATTTTAAGCTTCTGCTATTTAAAGTAACAAAACAAGACATGTCCTGTTACAAACAGATTAACACACATCCAACTACTAACACTGCTATTGGTTAAAAATTTAGAAAGGCTAGAAACTACTTGAATTTGGTACAAAGTTGGAATAGGACAGAGGTAGCATATCATTACACACAATGAGTCCAACTTACCCTCAACTCTGGCCTCATCAGGGGTGATGGTGGCACATTTGACGGCCACATTGTATTTCCTAGTTGCCAAAGCAGAGTCGATGGTGACCTGGTCATCCGTCTGGTCTCGGTAAGGCAGACCAAGGTCATAATACTTCAGCTCAACATCCACGTTGGATAGGATGAGCTGCACAAGATGTGGATGTATTATTTGTCAAAGGATAACACTGTAGATATATCATTTTGAATACAAACATCCTTCTATTTGCACAAAGTCTACCTACACTTTTGTTTAAACAGAGCAGGTCTAAATCACTGAAAAGTCCCTTAGGCTTTACTACTCTGTTTGATTTACCTTCTCTTTGATGAACTCCCATATGATGCGAGTCATCTCATCTCCGTCCATCTCCACCACCGGCTGGTCCACCTTGATACGTTTTGTTGCATCTGAAACATTTGTAGTTACAGTGTTGTTACTGGGAACGGGAAAAAAATCAGAAAAATTAAAGTGTGCACAAAGACAAGGCTGTTGCTCATTTGTTTATCCCCTTGAGATTCATTCAGCTGGAGTCATTTTCAGTCGTGTTTTCACTGCTTTAGTCTTCTTGCTCCTTGAGTTCATTCTGACCGTCCCTGCAGAGTCCAAGGCTTTCAATTCACATCTTTTCAGGAAAGCTAATCAGGAGGCCTAGAATATCCCTGAAACGACTACATTGAATTTACTTGTCTCACCTGTGACACCTGAAAAAGGACAAGGCGATAACTTACAATATTCCTGTGTTTCATTTTATATTCCTGGCACCGCTTTCAGTGAGAAGGTTAAACAGGTTGGCACTGTGCCAAACAGTGTGACCTTGGGATTATATGACAGCTTTGATAGCATTTATTACCTGTCGAGGCCTTTTTGTACCTGACAACACGTGCAAAGGCAGGCGGGCACCAGCTGCAGCTATACACTCTGTGTGATTGTTACATACAGCATGATATTCAGATCTACAGCAGCCTAAATACATGAGGGCTTTCAGATTCATTAGAATACATTCTATTCTACACGTTTTATTCACTATTAAACATGACAAAGTTGTTTCTTATTATGCCATTTTAAGTTTATGTTAACTTTTGGATGCATTTGTCAGCTAGTAATAAATCAAACTGCTTTGTATTAGTAGGACGATTGTAATTACCAGACTCTTATATCACCTATGGCTGGTAGCCAATCATCGCATTCCTACCTGTTTCCAGTGTCACGTGCTATGTAGCATAACTCACCTCTACCCCACACTGTGTACATTTACACTGACGACAGGTGACCACATTACTGCCGTGGGCCTCTGTAAAAACATCGCACTGTACGTACATTATAAGAAATATTATTGTGGTTTTGCTCGACGGCGGACTTACAGTTCCTCTGCTGCAGTCTGTGGTGGCAGACGGCGGCCGGTGAGACCACTGCGGGATTTTGCGACAGCGCAGCGGCTGCACTTCTCGACACGGTGGTCAGAGCCTTCAGGTAACCCGCCATGTAGCCTCGGGATTGATTACGGCCACGGACTGGACCACTGGGACTGGACCGTCTCTTCTTATGAATGAACGTGAGGCCGGTAAAACCCGGTGACGTGGTGACGACACACGCAGGCGCTCGTGAAGTTTTACCCACGTCAGCTTCACTCTGATTGGTCGACGGCAGCAGTAAGGACCAATACCTGACGCTTTCTTCGACCTACTTCCTGGTTTCGTGTTTTTTGTTAGTAAATAATAAATTCCTGAGCTCAGAAGAGTCCCAAGTCCATTCACTGTTTGTTTGGTTTTTGTTGTTGTTTTCCACACGTTTGATTTAGGTAACATAGCAAAGTATATTGTAGGACTTTAACCTTAGTCAGGTAAATTTGTATTACATATAATATTGTAGGAGTTAACCTTAAATATGTACCTTACTCAGGTAAATTTGCATTAAATATAATATTGTCGGACTTTAGCTTAGTGTGCAAATAAGTCAGGTAAATGTATATTACATAAAATCAACAGTTTCCCTGAGGTTTGCACCGAAGGGATCAATAAAGATTTATTCTTTTATTCTATTCTATTCTATTCTATTCTATTCTATTCTATTCTATTCTAAAGGATTGTGACTTAACCTAAACAAGTAGAAAAGTCAGGTAAATGTGTAATATTGTAGGATTTTAACGCTATTGTGTAAATTAGCCAGGTATATTGTTTTTCTGTAGAAAGCCCTTTGGTTCAACAGTTGTTATCTTAAATGTGCGAAGTAAGTAACAGTGACTCGACTTGATCAAAGCAAGTTTTTCAGTCTGACCATTTCATATTGTAAATCCTGGAATGTGTCAAGCTGAATTACATAGCTGATATTACTATTCAACCCACTAAATAAAAAAATGTAGATCACATCAAATAAATCAATCTCTATGACCCCCACTTTTGTGTGTATAAAATTTTGCATATCTGTCCAAAATAAGTTTAACAGATTACATTGAAAAAACAAATTACATCTTCTTTCTCTAACCTTGTTGAAAAGAACAGATCCATGTTTAGCTTAAATCTGCCAATGCTTCTTTAGCAGGGTAAATTCAATGAGAAAACTTAAATGCTGCTTTTTCCACTGTAATTAACCCATTAAAGAAGAACAGAAGAATGAATGAAGAAGAAGGAGCCTTAATGTAGTTCAAAGGCATTCTGATGCGTCTGTTGATGCACAGCTTATTCAATATCTCCAGTAAAAACAACAACAAAAAAACATAATTAAGTTAAAGAGTTAAAAATGCAACTTGCCATGAGATTATCCATCCATCTATCCATCATCTATACACCACTTAATCCTCACTAGGGTCATGGGGGGCTGGAGTCTATCCCAGCCGACTTAGGGTGAAGGCAGGGGACACCCTGACAGGTCACCAGTCTATCACAGGGCACCCTGAGATTATGATTCTTTAAAATGTGTAGAAAACCTGCGGGAACTGCATCAAAGATATTAGCATATACTTAGGTGTGACTGGAGATCTCTTACAGTAGTATTAGTCTATGGTTGTCACACTGTAAGTGAGTAAAGCTATATCTCCAAACAAAAGTGACAAAATGCTTCACTTTAAAAGCACCACATTAAGAGCAAAACATAAATAAAATCAACATAAACAACAGATGTAGTCAACTGCAATCTGCATATGAGAAATGTATCTGTATAATGAATGTTTTCTTAGCATTGCCAGACATGTTTTGAGGCATATAAACAGTAATAATCCATCCATTATCTATACACCGCTGAATCCTCACTAGGTTCACGGGGGGCTGGAGTCTATCCCAGCTGACTTAGGGTGAAGGCAGGGGACACCCTGGACAGGTCACCAGTCTATCACAGGGCTACACTTAGAGAGAACCCACGCTGCACGGGGAGAACATGCAAAATCCACGCAGAAAGATCCCGGGTGTCCTCACCGGGACGCGAACCGGCGACCTTCTTGCTGTGAGGCAACGATGCTAACCACTGAACCACCTTGCAGCCCCAAATATAAATCAGTTCCATATTTAACTTTTTACAGGCGCAGTCTTTCTCAACTCATTTATGTTGAATATTTCTGCATAAAAAAGCTTTTCTAAACATTACATCACTAGACTGTAGTTTATGTGAAAACCTGTAACTAGCTAACTGAAGGCTAAAGCCAGCTTACCAAGACAATAATGCACTGAT